CCCCAAAGTCAGGAAGGGCCTCCATCACAGGAGGAAGAGTGTTCTGAGCAGAAAGAGCAGCAGGTGTAAAGGCCCTGAGGTGGCAGGAACCTGGAGTGTGAGGAAGTGAAAACAAGGCCAGGATGGCTGAAGCTCAGAGTGGAGAAGAGACTGGAGATAAGGTCATAGAGGTGGCCAGGGGCCTCAGGGTGAGGAGGGGAGCCGCCAGGGTTCCTGGAGCATTTTATCGGCTAGAAAGTGGTATCATTTGATGCACATCTTTAGACGCTCCTTCTGGCCAGGCACAGCGGCTCACACCTGTAATCCCAGCACTTTGGGAGGCCGAAGCGGGTGGATCACAAGATCAGGAGTTCAAGACCAGCCTGGCCAATACGGTGAAACCCTGTCTCTACTAAAAATACAAAAATTAGACGGGCATGGTGGTGGGTGCCTATAGTCTCAGCTACTAAGGAGGCTGAGGCAGGAGAATGGCTTGAACACGGGAGGCGGAGGTTGCAGTGAGCCGAGATTATGCCACTGCACTCCAGGATGGGCAACAGAGCGAGACTCCATCTCAATCCCCCCCAAAAAAAAAAAAAAAAAAAGCTCCTTCTCAGTCCCCATGCAGTGCCTCACGCCTGTAATGCCAGTACTTTGGGAGGCTGAGGCAGGATCACTTGAGCCCAAGAGTTCAAGACCAGCCTGGGCAACACAGGGAGTCCCCATCTCTCCAAAAAGTACAAAAATGAGCTAGGTGGGAGGATCTCTTGAGCCTGAGAAGTGGAGACTGCAATAGGCTGCGATCACACACTGCACTCCAGCCTGGGCGCCAGAATGAGACCCTGCCTCCAATTAAAAAAAAAGCTCCTTCTGATTCAGGTGAATTATGAACTGCCAAAGGGGTGAGAGCAAGGCTAGGAGACCAGGGAAGAAGCTGGGACAGGTACACAGGTGGGAGTTGGCAGTACCTGCAACAGGGTGTGAAGCCATGGATGAATTCAGGTGTTTTCTGAAGGTAGAGCCAATCTAATCCACTCATGATTGGATGAGACTGTACCAAGGTGTCAAGGACAACACCCAGGCTTGGGGACCCCCACACTAGGAACCCACCTTCCCATTTCCTTCCTGAAAAGGAGTCTTCCTTTCATCCCCACCACATCCCAAGGACTATGGATTGTGGGCTGGGAGTCTGGGTCAGGGGACAAAGTAGCCTCGACGTATCTTGACCAAGCTTCTCATCACTCTTCCCAGCCCTGAGAATGCCAACTAGTGGGGGTTGGGGAGAGGCTTTAGCTCTACTCTGAGGGTGGGTCACCATCCCACTTTTCAGGTGGGGAGACTGAACCCCGAAGAACCACCAGACCCAAATTCCAGGATGACTGAGAAACCCGGAAGGAATTTCAATGTTCCAACAGCCAGGTGGGGACGATCCACACTTCATGAACGTCACTGGCCTCGAGTCACCCAGCTCATCTGTTCAGCATTCACTATCCTAAGTCTTTTACGACGTCAGTTACCTAAATTGTCACCACCCTAAGAGGTTCAGACTACTGCTACTCTCATTTGACAGGGACAACCCATGTGGATCGGAGATAAAAGTTGCTCATTCTTAGGGGCGGATAAGGGCCCAGAATGGCGGAGGTGGGGTCAGGGCCCAGGGGGACCGGGACAGTCGGCGATGTCGCACTTCCTTTGGCGACAAAGCCCTGCATATCACGGTGCCAAGCCCCCTCCCCCTCCCCGGGACCCAGGCCGGCCTCCCAAATTCTCCTGAACTGAAGAGATCCAGGACCAGCGCGCTGAGGACGAGGCCAGACCAGGGGGTCTTACGGGACCCCATCCCCACCCCAGACGGTTTCCGGGGGGAGCCGCAACCCGGAAATGAATGAGTTGTCAGGGCCTGGCATCCTGGATGGGGTCAAGGGTCGGAGAAGGAGTGGCAGTGGGATCATCAGGAAGCTCTCGGTAGGGTCCGGGGGTCGAAGGTCACAGGTAAGTGGGAGGGGCGGGCCAAGCCTGAGGGGGCCGGGCAGGGCGGAGAGGGGCCTAGGGGGATACTAGAGATGGGTGGGACCACGGCGCCATTTTGTCGAGCGGAGGGGGAGTAGAGGCCTGGAGGCCATACTCACCATCTTCTGTTTCCTCCGTCGCCGCCTCGGCCGCCGCCTCAGCCTCCACCGCCGCCACCACAGCCGCCTTCTAAGCCGCCGCCTCACAGTAACTTCCAGCCACGGCACAGCCCACACTGATGGCGCCACCACCCCCCCGTCATTGGTGCGCACTCTTGCCCCGCCCCCACATATGAGCGCTTTGCACGCTCCCATTGGCCTCATCCAGCTAACTCATGCGCCCATTGGTTGCCACGCCTCCTCCCATTGTGGTCAAGTTCGGTTGAAGAAGCAAAGCCCCGCCCGGTACTTGGAAGCAATGGAAAGTGAGATCCGGAAGTGGGCGGAGGCCTCGGCCCTGAAGTCTCTTGGGAGTTGTAGTTTACAACTCCCCAAGCCTCTCTAGAGCTTTTGCGTATCTGTTTTTAAGATGAGGGGGTCGGCCGGGTGCGGTGGCTCACGCCTATAATCCTAGCACTTTGGGAGGTCGAGGCGGGTGGATCGCCTGAGGTCAGGAGTTCGAGACCAGCCTGGCTAACATGGTGAAACCCCCATCTCTGCGCCTGTAATCCCAGCTACTCGGGAGGCTGAGGCAGGAGAATCACTTGAACCCGGTAGGCGGAGGTTGCAGTGAGCCGAGATCGCGCCATTGCACTCCAGCCTGGGCAACAAAAGTGAAAATCAGTCTCAAAAAAAAGAAAAAGAAAAAAAAAATGAAAGGTCGGCTGGGCGCAGTGGCTCACGCCTGTAATCCCAGCACTTTGGGAGGCCGAGGCGGGCGGATCACGAGGTCAGGAGATCGAGACCGTCCTGGCTAACACGGTGAAACCCCGTCTTTACTAAAAATACAAAAAATTAGCCGAGCGAGGTGGCGGGCGCCTGTAGTCCCAGCTACTCGGGAGGCTGAGGCAGGAGAATAGGGTGAACCCGGGAGGCAGAGCTTGTAGTGAGCCGAGATCCGGCCACTGCACTCCAGCCTGGGCAACAGAACGAGACTGTCTAAAAAAAAAAAAAAAAAAAAAAAAAAAAAATTCCGGGCACGGTGGCTTACACCTATAATCCCAGCACTTTGGCGGATCATGAGGGCAGGAGTTCAAGACCCGCCCGGGCAACAAGAGCGAAATTCCCTCTCCAAAAAAAAAAAAAGATAGGGGGGTCCCACTATGTTTCCCAAGCTGGTCTCAAACTTCTGGCCTAAAGCAATCCTCCAGACTTGACTTCCCAAAGTTCTGGGAGCCATCGTGCCAGCATCTTCTTGTGTTTATCACATTTTTAAAGCAGCCCTAGAAGAGGAAAACCATAACACTCCCTATCCCCTCCTCAAGACCATCTTGCTCAAACACCTCCCATAACTCCCTAGTATTCAATCCCACCTCCTTGACCCCATTTATGGGTACCTGCAGCCTTCATTGCCCACCTGTGTCCTCACCTCTAACCAATTCCTCCTACATCGGGGCTCTCCCAGACCTTGCCATTTCCTCCAAGACTGCATTCTTCAAAAAGGCAAGTCAGATATCTTCACTGAGGTCCTACAGCCCTCACAATCCCCCTCCCAGCCCTGACACTGCTGTGTCCAAACTGTCTTCCTGACTTCCAGGGCAAAGACTGGGCACCCAGCACATAGCAATTGCACAGTGAAGTTGCTAAGTGGAAGCTACTAAGTATTATTACTCCAATAGCAACAGAGCAGAGGAGAAACCAGCACTGCATTTTATAGGCGACAAACGCACCCCACAGAGCTAAGTCCTTGCTCAAAATCAAACATCCCCAAGGGACAGGCAGAAGATTCAAACTCCTTACGGGCTGGAGTTCGAGATCAGCCTGGCCAACATGGTGAAACCCCCCTCTACTAAAAATACATAAGTTAGCTGGGTATGGATTAGTAGCGCCTGTAATCCCAGCTACTGGGGAGGCTGAGGCACCAGAACTGCTTCAACCCGAAGGCAGAGGTTGCAGTGAGCAGGGATCCGACAACTGCACTCCAGCCACGCCAGCCTGGGCGACAGAGTGAGACCCTGTTTCAAAAACAAACACCCCCCCGCCACACACACACAGTTTTCCACCAGCCTTCCTAGACCTATAAAATTTATGACACAGGCTGGGCATGATGGCTCACACCTGTAATCCCAGCACTTTGGGAGGCCAAGGCAAGCAGATCACCTGAGGTCAGGAGTTCGAGACCAGCCTGGCCAACATGGTTGAAACCCCGTCTCTACTAAAAATACAAAAATTAGCCGGGTGTGGTGGTGGGCGCCTATAATCCCAGCTACTCAGGAGGCTGAGGCAGGAGAATTGCTTGAACCCGGGAGACAGAGTTTGCAGTGAGCCAAGATCGTGCCACTGCACTCCAGCCTGGGGGACAGAGCGAGACTCTGTATCAAAAAAAAGAAAAAAAAGCGGACGCGGTGGCTCACACCTGTAATCCCAGCACTTTGGGAGGCTGAGGCGGGTGGATCACCTGAGGTCAGGAGTTTGAGACCAGCCTGGTCCACACGCTGAAACCCCGTCTCTACTAAAAACACAAAAGTTAGGCCGGGCATAGTGGCTCACGCCTGTAATCCCAGCACTTTTTAAGAGGCCGAGGCAGGCGGATCACCTGAGGTCGGGAGTTCCAGACCAGCCTGACCAACATGGAGAAACCCCTCTCTACTAAAAATACAAAATTTGCCGGGTGTGGTGTCACATGCCTGTAATCCCAGCTACTTGGGAGGCTGAGGCAGGAGAATCGCTTGAACCCGGAAGGCAGAGGTTTCGGTGAGACAAGATCGCCCCATTGCACTCTAGCCTAGGCAACAAGAGGGAAATTCTGTCTCAAAAAAAAAAAAAAAAAGTTATGACATGTAAGGCAACTGGAACTTTGAACATTTATTACACGTTTAACAATATTTCAAAATTATTGATAATTCCTTTGGATGTGATACGCTTTGTAATTATATTTTAATGAGCTCTCATCTTGGAGAGATACATTCTTTCCGAGATACAAGAAATATTTATAGAAGAAATCATCCGATGCCTGAGATCAGCTTCAAAAGAACCAAGGATGGGGCAGGGACGGGTTGTAGGTGGTCGGTAGTCAGGGCTGTGTACTGGGTACAAGGAGGTTCGTTGTACTGTTCTTCGGTCTGTTGCGCAGGTTCGAAATGCTTCCTAATTTAGGCTTCCTAAAAAGCCTAAAAAGGGACTTGGCAAGCTCCCATGCAGCCTTCAACCCCACAATACGGAGAGCACTCAAGTCCGAGGCGTTCCTGCTCCCCAGCTCCCTGCAAAAACAGCGCCAGGCAAGGTCGCGAGGTGAGGGCGATGCTTCTATGGGGGTCCCGCCGACAGCATCGCGATCCTCAATGGCTCAGCGACTTGCGGCCCTTGAGCATTCGGCGAAGGATGACCTGGACGCCGGCCGGCGTGCTCAGGCGCCGGACCCAGCCGTGCTTGTTCTTCCGTTTGATGTTGCTCGGCTGATACTCGTTTCCGCGAGTCTTGCCCCGGGCCTTCTGTGGGGTGGGGAGGCCCCAGGCGTCCGGGAACCCCAGCCAGGCCCGGGGCTGGAGCCACCTGCGTGGGTAGAGGGACGGCGAGAAAGGTCAGACGGGGTGCTGGGTGACCTCGGCGCTCAACCTCTCTAAGCCTCTGCTCCCGGGGACAGAGCCTGGCTGCAAAATGCGCTCCATAAATGCGCAAGTCACTGGCAAGTCATGCGGGCAGTGAACAGTAGCGCCAGCCTCCGATGCCCTTATTCCCAGATTTGGGGAAGGGTTCCCCTTTGAAGACTTACCTGCCACCCAGCAACGCTGCCGACCTACTCGTGGGGCCCAACAGGGATCCAGCCAAGAGAGCCATATCCTCAGTGGGTCCGCCGGGCCCGGCCGCCGGCGATTCCGGAGCCCAGAAGCGCCCAACCCTGGAACAAAGGATTATGGGAAGTGTAGTTTCTCCTAACGTGCAAAAACAGGCCGTTGGGGAAAACCCCGAAGTTGTAGTTCTGCGCCTGCGCAACAGAGGCGCGCCAGTCTGTCCGCGGGGCAGGGTTCTTCGTACAAACCAAAAGGTAGCCGGCGAACGGCGCCTTTTCAGCACGCGCATGCGCACAAGGCATTATCTCCCGCGGTCAGCTGGGAGCTGTGCTGCAGTTGTCTCTCCTGTTGACCGGCAGAGGGTGCCCCGCGGTGGCCGGGCGCAGCTGGTGGCAGCCGCAAGAAGCGGCTGGTTGGTCTTAACCACCTCCAGCTGGGCAGATGGCACACAGCTGGCTGCCAGCTTGTCCTGGCTGCAGCCAAGTCTCCGCCTCTTGGCAGGAAGCCGAGGAGGCCTGAGTTCAAGCTCGCTGGGTGTCCTTGGGATGGTCCCTGCGCCTCTCTGGGCTTTCTCGATCTGTAAAACTCATGGATTGCAAGTTTGTCTTTGACAATCTTGCCTCCATTTAGGACCCTAGAAGAATTTTCCTCTGTTGTTAGAACCAAAAAAAGAAAAAGAAAAAGAAAAAAGGAAGAAAAATTTTCTGATACTCAGATCTGAACCCCTCCCCTACTCACACACTATCCTTGGCTCTCCATTTCCCCAAGTAAAACCTGCTCAGCCCTTCCATTAGGCATGCAAAACCCTGTACACACACCATCTTACATTTCAGCCACGCCCTCCTCTCTGCCTGGTGTTCCCCTATCCGCCCTTTAAAAATCCTCTCCTCTCCTTCAAGGACTGAGTGAGGTGTGGCTTATGCCTGTCATTCCAGCATTTTGGGAGGCTGAGGAGGGAGGATCCCTTGGGGCCAGGAGTTTGAGACCAGCCTGGGGACATGGTAGCAACCACATATAGCCTCAAGTACTCGGAAGGTGAGGTGGGAGGATTCCCTGAACCCAGGAGTTCCAGGCTGTAGTGAGCAATGACAGCGCCAATGCACTCCAGCCTGGGCAACGGAGTGAGATCCTTTCTCAAAAAAAAAAAAAAAAAAAAAAAAAAAATTGGAGTCCTCTTCTCTCAACCGCTGTCCATTCTTCTGGCCCAGCTGCCTTCCCTTGACTCTCTCCCAAGTTCAGGGGCTTCTCAAGGGCCAGGGGCCTGGGGCTGTATCCCTACAAGTGCCAGCTTGGGGTTGATACAGAGAGGTGCTTGCTAAATGAATAAACTGTATAGTCTCCCAGAAGTGCCCTTAGTGGGCAAGAGTAGGTGTCTGGACGGAATCCAGCTCTGGCAGCAAATTCCAGGGGATGGGAGTGGCCAAGCAGCAAGGAGCATTTAACCCCTCGTCCCCCGAAGCCCATCCTACCTGTAGCATCATTTAGCAAAACATCACCACTACAATAACGCCCATAATATATGGAGCACTTGTTATATGCATGACACTGATGAGTGCTTTACCTGCATAGTAAACTCATGAGAGGATTAATTTCATAAAGAAATAAACAGAGGCTCAGGAACGTGAAGTAACTTGCCCAAGGTCACACCTCAGCAAAGGGCAGAGGCTGGATTTGAGACCTGAGCTGTCCCGAGGGCCTACCGTGGCCCCGCCGGCACCACAGAGCTGGGATGCCTGCCTCTTGCTATCAGCCCTCCTCAGAACCATGGCAGCCATAGGTTAAATCGGCTGATTATGAAATTCAAACTCTCTAATTACCCACAGCTCTAAGACTTTCCTTGAAAGCTTTAGAGAAGCCCGTCACGATGGCTCACGCCTGTAATCTCAGCCCTTTGGTGAAGCCGTAGGCGAGAGGATTGCTTAATGCCCGGAGTTCGAGACTAGTCTGGGCAACATAGCGAGACCTCGTCCCTACCAAAAAAAAAGGGGGGCAGGGGATGGGGGTGGGGTGAGGGAGGTTAGCAAATAATGGTTCCCAGGGCTTGGAATTACACAGCCTTGGGTTCAAGTCCCAGCTTTGCCCCGTGCTTGATTTATGTTCTTGTGCCCTTTATGAGCCTCAGTTTCCCCACTGGAGACTGGAAAAAGATCTTGGAGTCTCTGCTTCTAGAATGGAAAGGTCGATACGGAGAGAAGAGTGTGGGAGCCTCGTTTGGAGAGGAACAGGACAATTCGGAGGCAGGGGCTGGGAGGCAGGGGCTTGGGAGACCCATTTGCAGAGAGAGGGCCCCGGCCGCGCACTCCCAGGCGTCCCTCAGACTTTAGACTGCAACCCCCTTCTCCGCCTTGAGCCAGGCCCCATCCTCCCGCAACCTCGGTGCACCACCAAAGGGGCGGGGTTGTTGCTCCCAGAGCCCGCCTCCACTCCGGAACTGCCGCCTCTGATTGGGCTTGTAACTAGGCCAGGTCAATCCGCAGCTGCGATAGGCCGAAGTGCCCGCCCGTCGGCACATGGCTCCGCCTACTCGGGGGAGGAACTTAAAGGGCCGGCTCTTTCCGCGGCCGCGGGATGCCCCTGTGCTGACCGCCGGGGGCCGGTGCCCGCCCGCGTAGACGCACCCGGCCTGACCCCGCGCCACCATGTAAACGGCGCCAGCAGGCGGACGCTGGCTTCTCCGCCTGGGACCCCTCCGCCCCGACCCGGGCCCCGCGGCCCTCGATGAGGTGAGCGGGGAGCGGGCCCCAAAAGGAGAGATCGAAGCCCCGGGGCCTCCACTTCGGAGGAGTGGTGTCCACCAACCCCGCGTTTGGGCTCCTAGGAAGCCACGGAGCCCCAGTGGGCTCGACCCCGCTGCAGGAATGACGAACACCTGGAAGGCGGGGGCCAGGGGCGGGGAAGCGGGACTGGGGTGGCGCCTGTGCGTTGCCCTCTGCAATCCGGGATTAGGGCCCCACTCGAGGTGCGGGGCACAGTCTGCTTCTCCTCCAGTATGTCTGGGGCCACTGCGGGCTCAGTCTCGGGCGTGCGTTACCTTAGCGGCGCCCAACCTGGGGTAGGGGGCAGGCAGGCAGTTGGCCCCATCTCCAGGCCCTAGACACCTAGACAATGGGGGTGCACTGCTCGGGTATCCCCCCTTAGGTTATGTAACCGCCTGTGGTTGCCATGGACACGGGGGCGGGGGTGGCCCAAGGAGTGGGATGGAGGCTTGGAGGCCCCCAGCCAGGGCCTTGCCTTTCCCATCCTCTTCTCCACCTCCGAGGACTTGTGTAGCAGATCCCCAGAATCCAGAGTGCCAAGGAGGAAGTTCAGAGTCTAGCTTCCTCTCAGAGTATCTGGGTCTCAGCTTGGCCCTCTATGAAACAGACCCTGGCTCACCCCGGTCTAGAGGAGCTAAGCAAGGCTTTCTGTGGCTCAGTTCCCAACCCCCTCTCCCAGGGCCTCATCTTTCAGGAGTCAGATTCAGAGCCAGGAGTCTCACTGGGGGCTCACCAAAGATTTGCACATTTTAGATGCCTTAGGAGGCCATGGGGATATGTGAGTTAGTGAGTGTATACCTGGATGAGTTAGTGAGTTAGTGCATACCTGAATGAGTAAGTTAGGGTATACCTGAATGAATGACTTAGGAGGCCATAAATGGTATAAACTCCAGCTTGTGGGGAGGGGGTGTCTTCAGGCTGGTCCATGTTTGCCAGAATGTCCCCTTCTCCAGGAACATCCCCCACCAGACCCCACCACCTTCCCTGTGGACACCCTATGGGGTAAGCCATAGCCACCTCTTTCTCTCTGAGGATAGACTAGGTGGCCCAGGAGGGTGTCTGACTACCACAAAGGCACTGCCCAGACCAAACATCTCAGGGCAGGATGGCTCACACCTGTAATCCCAGCACTTTGGGAGGCCGAGGCAGGCGGAACATTTGAGGTCAGGAATTCAAGACCAGCCTGGCCAACATGGTGAAACCCCATCTCTACAGAAAATACAAAAATTAGCTAGACATGGTGGCACCTGCCTGTAATCCCAGCTACTGAGGAAGCTGAGGCAGGAGAATCGCTTGAACCCAGGCGGGGGAGGTTGCAGTAAGCCGAGATACTGCCACTGCACTCCAGCCTGGATGACAAAGTGAGACGGTCTCAAACACACACACAGACACACACAGACACACACACACGCACACACACACACACACACACACACACACACACACACACACCCCTCAGTGCCGTGGCTCACTTGCTCTGGCGCTCCCCAAACTGGAGTCTACAAGGGTTCTGCTAACGCTCAGGGTAGAGGGTTCTCATTGAGACAGCACCTGAACTGGCTGCTGTCCCCACTCACAGGACACACCATGCTGACCGGGGTGACCGACGGTATCTTCTGTTGCCTGCTGGGCACGCCCCCCAACGCCGTGGGGCCATTGGAGAGCGTCGAGTCCAGCGATGGCTACACCTTTGTAGAGGTCAAGCCCGGACGCGTGCTGCGAGTGAAGCATGCAGGACCCGCCCCGGCCGCTGCCGCACCTCCGCCATTATCCGCATCCTCGGATGCAGCCCAGGGGGACCTTTCTGGCTTGGTCCGCTGTCAGCGCCGGATCACCGTGTACCGCAATGGGCGGTTGCTGGTGGAAAACCTGGGCCGAGCCCCTCGAGCCGACCTCCTGCACGGGCAGAATGGCTCTGGGGAGCCGCCGGCCGCCCTGGAGGTGGAGCTGGCCGATCCAGCGGGCAGCGATGGCCGCTCGGCCCCCGGCAGCGGCAGCGGCAGCGGCAGCGGCAGTGGCAGTGGCGGGCGGCGGCGGCGAGCCCGGCGCCCCAAGAGGACCATCCATATTGACTGTGAGAAGCGCATCACTAGCTGCAAAGGCGCCCAGGCCGACGTGGTGCTGTTTTTCATCCATGGTGTCGGCGGTTCCCTGGCCATCTGGAAGGAGCAACTGGACTTCTTTGTGCGCCTAGGCTATGAGGTGGTGGCTCCTGACCTGGCGGGCCACGGGGCCAGCTCTGCGCCCCAGGTGGCCGCAGCCTACACCTTCTATGCGCTGGCTGAGGACATGCGAGCGATCTTCAAGCGCTATGCCAAGAAGCGAAACGTGCTCATCGGCCATTCCTACGGGTAAGTGAACCCTGGCACGTGGGGTGGGGGTGAGGGATGGGGGTCAGCAGAGACTGACAGTCACAAAATACTGAGTTTTTGGCTGGGCCCTGTGGCTCACGCCTGTAATCCCAGCACTTTGGGAAGCCGAGGCGGACGGATCACCCGAGGTCTGGTGTTCGAGAACAGCCTGGCCAAGGTGGTGAAACCCCGTCTCTACCAAAAATACAGAAATTAGCCAGACATGGTGGCACGCACCTGTAGTCCCAGTTACTGGGGAGGCTGAGGCAGGATAATCGCTTGAACCAGGGAGGTGGAGGTTGCAGTGAGCCAAGATTGCACCACTGTACTCCAGCCTGGGTGACAGAGTGAGACTCAGTCTCAAAAAAAACAAAAAACAAAAAACTGAATTTTCAGTCCAGATGCCGCTGATGCCTGTAATCCCAGTGCTTTGGGGGGCCAAGGCAGGAGGATATCTTGAGGCAAGGAGTTCAAGACCAGCCTGGGCAACATAGGGAGACCCTAGCTCTGCAAAAAGTACAAAAATTAGCTAGGTGAGGAGGTGCACACATATAGTTCCAGCTACTTAAGGGGCTGAGGCAGGAGATCGCTTGAGCCTGGGAGGTTGAGGCTGCAGTGAACTGTGATCACACCACTGCACTCCAGCCTGGGCAACATGGCAAGACCCTGTCTCTCTTTAAAAAAAAAAAAAAAAAAAGGGCCAGGCACAGTGGTCCACACTTGTAGATGGATCACTGGAGATGAGCCTGGACAACATGGCAAAACCCTATCTCTTAAAACAAACAAACAAAAATCCTAATTTTTCCCCTTGAAAAAAAATCCCATTTTTTATTATTTAAGTTTTACTTTTTCTTTTAAATAGAGATAGTGTCTCACTATATTACATCTTATTAAAGAACAAGATGTTCTTTAACTCCTGGGTTCAAGTGGTCTTCGCACCTCAGCCTCCCAAAGTGCTGGGATTACAGGTGTGAGTCATTGTGCTCAGCCTTAATTTTTTCTTTTTTCTTAGATGGAGTCTCGCTGGGTCCCCCAGGCTGGAATGCAGTGATGAGATCTTGGCTCACTGCAAGCTCCACCTCCCAGATTCATGACATTGTCCTGCCTCAGCCTCCTGAGTAGCTGGGACTACAGGCACCCGCCACCACACCTGGCTAATTTTTTGTATTTTTAGTAGAGACAGGGTTTCATCATGTTAGCCAGGATGGTCTCGATCTCCCGACCTCGTGATCCTCCCTCCTCAGCCTCCCAAAGTGCTGGGATTACAGGCGTGAGCCACCGGGCCCAGCCAATTTTCAAGTTTAAAAAAAATTATGTAGAGATGGCGGGGGTCTCATTATGTTGCCCAAGCTGGTCTTGAACTCCTGGGCTCAAGCCATCCTCCCTCCTTGGCCTCCCGACATGGTGGGATAATAGGTATGAGCCACTATACCAGGCTGAAAGCTCCCATTAACATATGTGTTCAGACAGGGATTTCCATCATCACTGATATTATTTCACATTGTTCTAAAGCAGTGTTGCTCAGGCCAGGTGCAGTGGCTCATGCCTGTAATCGTAGCACTTTAGGAAGCCAAAGCAGACAGATCACTTGAGGTCGGGAGTTCAACACCAGCTTGGCCAACATGGTGAAACCCCATCTCTACTAAAGGTACAAAAAATTAGCCAGGCATGATGGTGTGTGCCTGTAATCCCAGCAACTCGGGAGTCTGAGGCAGGAGAATCACTTGAACCTGGGAGGCAGAGGTTGCAGTGAGCGGAGATCACACCACTGCACTCCAGCCTGAGCAACAAGGTGAGACTCCGCAAAAAAAAAAAAAAAAAAAAAAAAAAAAAAGCAGTGTTGTTTAATCCCAGCACTAACATTTTTGGCCAGGTTATTTTTTTTTTCCTGTGGGGGGCTTTAGGATGTTTAGTAGTATCCCTGGCTTCTGCACAGTTGATGCAACTACACAATCTAGTGTTGATCATGACAGTCAAAAATGTCTTCAGAAGTTGCCAAATGTGCACTGGTGGGCAGAATTACCCCTGGCTGAGAACCACTGCCTTAGACTAAGTTCAAAACTCAGCTGCCCTGGAGATCCCTGTGCATTCAGGAAGGGCTCATTGGAATCCTGTAAATTCTAGGCATTTACAAAGGCATAGGTTACTGAAATTCACTCCTGCTTAAAGGGCAGATAATATAACCTAAAACTTACCAATAACCCTTCCATGGAAGGCTTGGTCCCCAGGGCTTGACCACTACCAAGTGGCCTCATTCTTTCCCTTATCCAGGAAGAAAGGCAAGATTGGAACAGCCAGGTGGGTTGAGCACCACTGTTTTAGAGATTCTAGCCTATGCAATTAGACAAGAAAAAGAGGCCGGGCGCAGTGGCTCACACCTGTAATCCCAGCACTTTGGGAGGCCGAGGAGGGCAGATCACGAAGTCAGGAGATCGAGACCATCCTGGCTAACACGGTGAAACCCCGTCTCTACTAAAAATACAAAAAATTAGCCAGGCATGATGGTGGGCGCCTGTAGTCCCAGCTACTCGGGAGGCTGAGGCAGGAGAATGGCATGAACCCAGGAGGCGGAGCTTGCAGTGAGCCAAGAACGTGCCACTGAACTCCAGCCTGGGCAACAGAGTGAGACTCTGTCTCAAAAATTTTAAAAACAGAAAAAAGAGAAAAAAAAGAAAAATAAATAAGTGGCCAGGTGTGGTGGCTTACACCTGTAATCCCAACACTTTGGGAGGCTGAGGTGGGAGGACTGCTGTAGCTGAGGAGTTGCCGAAGACCAACCTGGGCAGCATAAGCAAGATCTTATCTCTACAAAAAATTAAAAAGTAAAAAAAGAAAACAAGGAAGTTACATAAGTATCTAAAAGAAAGGAATCCAGACTGAGAGGTAACAGCTCTTATTTGTTTATATTTGTTTATATGATAACATACTCAAAAGTTGATGCTTATGATAAAGTATTCCTCTAATTAAATGAGCATCCACCTGCCAGGCACAGTGGCTCACACCTGTAATCCCAGCACTTTCAGAGGCTGAGGCAGGCGGATCACGAGGTCAGGAGTTCAAGACCAGCCTGGCCAAAATGGTGAAACCCTGTCTCTACTAAAAATACAAAAATTAGCTGGGTGTGCTGACAGGCACCTGTAATCCCAGCTACTCAGGAGGCTGAGGCAGGATAATCATTCGAACCCATGAGGCGGAGGTTGCAGTGAGCCGAGATTGCACCATTGCACTCCAGCCTGGACAACAGGGCAAGACTCTGTCTCCAGAAAAAGAAAACAAAAAACACCCACCTATAATAGTTCCCATGACCCCATAACAATGCTATGAGGTCAGCACATTTACAACTTCAGGAATGTGGAGGCTGAAGCTCAGAGAGGTGAAGCAACCTGCCCAAAGACATACAGGAAGTCCCCGACACAATCACGTCTGCCTGACTCCTGTCTGTATCCTTTCTTCATTATGGCAGGGGCTGGCAAACATTTCCTTAAAGGGTCAAATAGCGAATATTTTAGGTTTGCAGGTCATACAGTCACTGTTGGAACTTCTGATAAAACTTTATTTAGGAAACATTTTTTGGCCAGGCACGGTGGCTCACGCCTCTAATCCCAGCACTTTGGGGGGCCAAGGTGGGCAGATCGCCCAAGGTCGGGAGTTCGAGACCAGCCTAACTAACATGGTGAAATCCCGTCTCTACTAAAAATACAAAAATTAGCCAGGCATAGTGGCGGGCGCCTGTGATCCCAGCTACTTGGGAGGCTGAGGCAGGATAATCGCTTGAACTCGGGAGGTGGAGGTTGCAGAGAGCCGAGATCATGCCACTGTGCTCCAGCCTGGGTGACACAGTGAGACTCTGTCTCAGAAGAAAAAAAACAAAAAACAAAAACTTTATTTAGAAAACATTTTTCAAATCTCCAAAAGTGTTAACTGTATTTACAAAAGCAAATGACTAGCCCAGAGGCCATACATAGTTTGCTGACCCCTGCTTTAGTAGGAATGAGGAACTGAACTTTGGGGGCTCCTCAGGCCATGCCCTTCCATCTCGTATAAGGAAGACAGATATGTCTTGCCCAGAGGCAGGTGGTGGAACATCCTAAAAAGCAAGGGATAGTAGGAAACCGTGACCTCCTCTGGGCAGCCAGAAGCATTTGTTTAATCAGATTGCTTTCCTAACACTTGCTGATAAGTAATTCTTACTGCTTTCGGGTCATGGTGACTTTCAGAATCTGATGAGAGCCAGGCACAGTGGCTCTATAATCTCAACACTTTGGAAGGCCAAGGTGGAAGGATCACTTGAGCCCAGGAGTTCAAGACCAGCCTGGGCAACATAGTGAGACCCCCATCTCTACAAAAATTTTTAAAAATTAAAATAAAAAGTCTGGTGAAGCTTCTGGATCCAGATTCTCTCTTCAAAATAAGTTCCATCCTCAACACTCAATCTCACACTTTCACGGTATTTGAGAGGCCGCCCCCATCCCTCACCCCTTCAGGTGTCCATGGACCCCAGGGGAAGAATCTTGGCTTTCAAGGTTCTTCTTGAACCTTCTGGGTAAGGGGAGGACACGAACCCCCTCACCAGGCCGGGTGTCACAGCTCACACCTGTAATCCCAGCACTTTGGGAGGCTAAGGCCAGAGGATCGATCGCTTGAGCCCAGGAGTTCAAGACCAGCTTAGCCAACATAAGCTTAGCCAACATAAGGATATCCTGTCTTTATAAATTTTTTTTTTTTTTTTTTTTTGAGCTGAAATCTTGCTCGTCTCCCAGGCTGGAGTGCAGTGGCACGATCTCGGCTCACTGCAAGCTCAGCCTCCCAGGTACTCGCCATTCTCCTGCCTCAGCCTCCCGAGTAGCTGGGACTACAGGCGCCCACCACCATGCGCAGCTAATTTTTGTATTTTTAGCAGGGACGGGGTTTTACCATGTTAGCCAGGATGGTCTCGATCTCCTGACCTCGTGATCCGCCCGCCTCGGCCTCCCAAAGTGCTGGGATTACATACGTGAGCCACCGCGCCTGGCCATAAAAATTTTTAAAAATTAGCCGAGCATGGTGGCACATGCCTGTAGTCCCAACTACTCAGAAGGCTGAGGTGGGAGGATCACTTGAGCCCAGGAAGTCAAGGCTGCAGGGAGCTATGATTATGCCACTGCACCACTCCAGCCTAGGTGACAGCAAAACCTTGTCTTAAAAACAGAACAGGCCAGTCCCAGTGGCTCACGCCTGTAATCTCAGCACTTTGGGAAGCCAAGGTGGGCAGATCACTTGAGGTCAGGAGTTCTCGACCAGCCTGAGCAACATGCTGAAACCCTGTGTCTACTAAAAAATACAAAAATTAGCCAGGTGTGGTGGTGAACGCCTGTACTCCCAGCTACTCAGGAGGCTGAGGAAGGAGAATTAGTTGAACCTGGGAGCCAGAGGTTGTAGTGAGCTGAGATTGCATCACTGTACTCAAACCTGGGCAACAGATTGAGACTCCGTCTCAAAAACAAAAACAAAAACAAACCAGGCCAGGCGCAGTGGCTCATGTCTGTAATCCCAGCACTTTGGGAGGCCAAGGCGGCTGGATCACTTAAGGTCAGGAATTCAAGTCCAGCCGGACCAACATGGTGAAACCCCATCTCTACTAAAAATACAAAAATTATCTGGGTGTGGTGGTGTGCGGCTGCAATCCCAGCTACTCGGGAGACTGAGGCAGGAGAATCGCTTGAACCCAGGAGGCAGAGGTTGCAGTGAGCCAAGATCGAGCCACTGCACTCCAGCCTGGGCGACAGAGTAAAACTCTGTCTCAAACAAAAACAAAACAAAACAAAACAAAATGGTCACTGCTTGTATCCTGCTGACCGCCTCCCTTCAATCCTCCCATCACCCCACCCATTCCGGGCAGTGTCTCTTTCTGCACATTCCTGGCACATGAGTACCCAGACCTAGTGCACAAGGTCATCATGATCAATGGCGGGGGCCCTACGGCGCTGGAGCCCAGCTTCTGCTCAATCTTCAACATGCCCACCTGCGTCCTGCACTGTTTGTCACCCTGCCTGGCCTGGAGCTTTCTCAAGTGAGTGCCCCCATCCCAAAGGCCGTGATCCTGGCCCTGGCGAACCCAGGCGTCTGCTCGAGTTGGACGGGAGGGGGGCTGTACTGCTGGGAGGAGGGCTGGCATCGGGGGCATCCCGCGGCAGGCGGGCTGGCGTGAGAGGCTCTAGCGGTGCCTCTACCACCACCAGGGCCGGCTTCGCCCGCCAAGGAGCCAAGGAGAAGCAGCTGTTAAAGGAGGGCAACGCTTTCAACGTGTCATCCTTCGTGCTCCGGGCCATGATGAGCGGCCAGTACTGGCCAGAGGGCGACGAGGTCTACCACGCCGAGCTCACCGTGCCGGTCCTGCTTGTCCACGGCATGCACGATAAGTTTGTGCCCGTAGAGGAAGACCAGCGGATGGCTGAGGTAGAGGAGGGCACCCGGGGCGCCACAGCTACAAATCCCCAGGGTGCAGCCCAGGAGGGGCGTGGCCTCTGCGGGGGGCGTGGTAGTGTTTGGAGGGCGTGCTTTCTTCCCGAGGGGGCGTGGTCGCCGGGTGGGCATGGTGTCTAGATGCTGCATCTTGTTCTGACCCCAGGCAAACAGGAGCATTAGGTCTAGCATCAAAGGTATAATCTAGAAAGCAGGGCTGCCCTGGACAGGTGTTAGCAACTATGCACCGTTCCCCCACCGCATGTAAGAAGGCTCTCCTCACAGCGGAGGATTTGTATAAGAGACCGGTGACTATATAATTCTAGGAGACCGGCACCAGGGGATCTTTAGATTAGAAACTCTAATTAGCGAGTTCAGATTAGAAAGGGTCTGGGGATCCTTAGTACTTAGAATAGCCTTGGATACTAGCCGGGCGCGGTGGCTCACGCCTGGAATCCCAGCACTTTGGGAGGCCGAGGCGGGCGGATCACGAGGTCAGGAGATCGAGACCACGGTGAAACCCCATCTCTACTAAAAATACAAAAAATTGGCCGGGCGCAGTGGCGGGCGCCTGTAGTCCCAGCTACTAGGGAGGCTGAGGCAGGAGAATGGCGTGAACCCGGGAGGCGGAGCTTGCAGTGAGCCGAGATCGCGCCACTGCACTCCAGCCTGGGCGACAGAGCGAGACTCCGTCTCAAAAAAAAAAAAAAAAGAATAGCCTTGGATACTAGCCTGGCGAGGTGGTTCACACAGATAATTGCTGCAACTTGGGAGGCTGAGTGGGGCAGATCGGTTGAACCCAGGAGTTCAAGGCTGCAGTAAGCCATACTTGCACCACTGCGCTCCAGCCTGGGCGACAGAGCAAGACCTCATTTCTCGAAAAAAAAAAAAAATTAAAGTATAGCTCTGTACTGGTGGTTCTTAACTAAGGAAGATTCTGCCCCCAAAGGACACGTGGAAATGCATGGAGACATTTTTGGGTGTCATGACTGAGGGGGAGGGGGTACTACTGGCATCTGGTGGATGGAGGCCAGGGATGCCGCTCAACACCCTACAAATGCGCAGGATAGCAGCCCCACACCAGCTACCTCCCACCCCCACCAGCAAAGAATGATCCAGCTCCTAATGTTGGATCCTCCTCCGGGTCAGGCGCGGTGGCTCGCACCTGTAGTCCCAGCACTTTGGGAGACCGAGGCGGGCAGATCACCTCAGGTCAGGAGTTGGAGACCAGCCTGGCCAACATGGTGAAACCCCGTCTCTACTAAAAATACAAAAATAAGCCGGGTGTGGTGGCGCGTGCCTGTAATCCCAGCTACTCGGGAGGCTGAGGCAGGAGAATCGCTTGAACCCAGGAGGCAGATGTTGGAGTGAGCCGAGATTGCGCCACTGCACTCCAGCCTGGGTGACAGAGCAAGACTCCGCCTCCAGAAAAAAAAAAAAAAAAGAAAGAAAAAAGAAAATCCTTCTCCGGGCGTGCTGTATACACTTAATAAATGCTGGATGCCTGAATTCTGGATAAATGCCTGAATTCTGGATGAATGCTGGATGCCTAGTTCGGCTCCAGCAGGGCGACAGGCCATCCTCTAGCTCCCCCTTGAGTGGAAGTGGAGAGATGCAGGGTAGATGAGAGGAGGGACTTTTGGATGCTGCGGGCCAAGTGTGGATGGCGGAGTCCCAGGGAAGCCTGGCCTCTCGCTCCACCCTCCTGCCCCCGCCTACCCTGAGCCCCGCGTCTTCTGCAGATCCTGCTCCTGGCATTCCTGAAGCTCATCGACGAGGGCAGCCACATGGTGATGCTGGAATGCCCCGAGACAGTCAACACGCTGCTCCACGAATTCCTGCTCTGGGAGCCCGAGCCCTCGCCCAAGGCTCTGCCCGAGCCACTGCCGGCGCCTCCAGAAGACAAGAAGTAAACGCCGGGTCGGCGGGGCATCGCTTGGTGAGCACAGCCGCAGCAGGAGGAGGCCGGAGCCTGCGCCGGGTCTGCAGCGCAGACCACCTGGGCGGGCCGTTCGCTCCGGTGGGCGGGGCCAGGTCAGGGAGACGTCCCCAGGCTGGCTGGGCGGGGCGTGGCATCTGAGAGAGCCCAGCGGACCCTCCGCTCTCTGCTTCGGTCCCGCGGGGCCCATCGGCGTTTCGGGGTTGCAGCCGGGACCCTCGCGGAAGATGACCTTGTACAGAAGCTCTCCCCCACTTTCCCCACGACGCCACGGTCGAGGCAGGCCCCCCACCCCGCTCTCTGTCTTCCGTGTCAGCCGTGCTTGATCCTGGGACCCACGATCCCCACGGGGACCCTCGGGGCCCCATCCCGTTGCCCGAGACCCTCCCTACCCCCCATTCCTCGGCGCTGGGAGCTATTTTTGTCCAAGGTGGGAGGGATGGGGGGGCTAGCGCCACCGAACCTGCACATCTCAACCTGTAACTCAATAAACAGAAGTGACAATCGGAGTCTCCAGACCTGTGCTGGGTGACCACAGGGCAGGGTGTTCACCGCCCGGAGCCTCAGTTTTCCCATCTGCAGACTGGGCTCAGGCTGATGCCTCGAGCTCAGGATCGACTTCGACAATGTCTGGGATCCACGTTAGCTTCCTGAATTTCCTCTCACACCTCAGAAGGCTGGGCCTCCTTGGACAGTATTCCCCAGGGCAGGAGGCAACTTAACAAGAGGTGAGCCCGGCCGGACGTGGTGGCGCGGTGGCTGACGCCTGTAATCCCAGCACTTAAGGAGGCCGAGGCGGGGGGATCACGAGGTTAGGAGCTCGAGACCATCCTGGCTCACACGGTGAAACCCCGTCTCTACTAAAAATACAGAAGATTAGCCGGGCGTGGTGGCGGGCACCTGTAGTCCCAACTACTCGGGAGGTTGAGGCAGGAGAATGGCGTGAACCCAAGAGGCAGAGCTTGCAGTGAGCCGAGATCGCACCACTGCACTCTAGCCTGGGCAACAGAGCGAGACTACGTCAAAAAATAAAAAATACAAAGACGAGCCAGGAATGGTGGCGCGCGCCTGTAGTCCCAGTTACTCCGGGATCCTGAGGCCGGAGAATCGCTTGAACCTAGGATGTGGAGGTTGCAGGAGCTGATATCGTGCCACTGCACTCCAGCCTGGGCAACAAGGCGAGACTCCGTCTCAAAAAAAACGAGAGGAGCCCTTCCCTGGCCGGAAGAGATCCAACCGAGGTTTAGGTAAAGATCGGGGTAGGTGCTGCATAGAATTAGAGTTGCCATAATTGAGTGCCCACTGTATTCCAGGCTGTGTTTTGAATGCCTGCCACCCACTGGTTCATTGAATTCGACTCATCCAACCCCACCCAGCAAGTTAGGATCTTTTACTATCCCCATGTTATATCTTTCAGCTTGGTTTAGGGTCACCTTTGTCAAGAAGATTTTTCTTTTGAAACCACCAAATCTGTGTTTTAGTTTTTTGGTTTTTTTGTTTTTTGTTATTGTTGTTGTTTGTTTGTTTTTTGAGACGGAGTCTTACTCTGTTGCGCAGGCTGGAGTACAGTGGCGCCATGTCGGCTCCCTGCAACCTCCGCCCCCCACCCCCTTCAAGCGATTCTCCTGCCTCAGCCACCGGACTAGCTGGGATTACAAACGCTTGCCACTGCTCCCAGCTACTTTTTGTATTTTTAGTAGAGACGGGGTTTCACCATCTTGGCCAGGCTGGTCTTGAACTCCTGACCTCGTGATCCACCCGCCTCGGCCTCCCAAAGTGCTGGGATTACAGGCGTGAGCCCCTGCACCTCGCCTACATTTTATTCTGATCCATGTATATCTAGGCCTATCTGTGGTTCCTGTGTATTACAGGAGGAGGGAGGAAATCTTTCCTTCCGTTCTATCCTTTCCCCACTGGTTTGGGAGCTCCATCTTTAGTCTAGACCGGGGGGCAGTTGTGTCCATTGGCAACTTCTGGTGACATTTTTAATCGCTATGTTTGGGGGTGCATGGGTGTTGCTGGCTTCTAGTGGATGGAGGCCAGGGACGCTGTTCATCACCCTGCAATGCACGGGACAGACCCCACAGCAAAGAATAAGCCAACCCCAAATGTCATTAGGGCCAAGATTGGAAAACCCTGTGTTAGACAAATCCCATCTCTTCTGGGGGCTCTAGATTCTTTACCAATGTTCTGTTTGTGTATTCTGGGGTGATGGCACAGTGTCATAACTCCTGTGGCTTTATTATTAGATTTGGCACCTGAGAGGCATCCCCGTTTCACACTTTTTTTTTTTTTTTTTTTTTTTGAGACAGAGTCTTGCTCTGTTGCCCAAGCTTGAGTGCAGTGGCACAATCTTGGTTCACTGAAGCCTCAGTCTCCTGGGTTAAAGCGATTCTCTTGCCTCAGCCTCCTGAGTAGCTGAGATTACAGACGCCCGCCACCACGCCCGGCTAATCTTTGTATTTTTAGTAGAGGCAGGGTTTCACCGGGTTGGCCAGGCTGATCTTGAACTCCTGACCTCAGGTGATCCACCCGCCTCGGCCTCCCAAAGTGATAGGAATACAGGCGTGAGCCACGGTGCCTGGCCCCTGTTTTACACTTGAGGAAAGTGAAGCTCAGAGAACGGTTTCTTCGGCTCAATTACAAGTGGTCGAGCCCAAACCCACTCCAGAAACTGGACTCCTAATCACAATACCAGCCATTCCCCCAGGAGCAGTCAGGGGCTCAGCAGTGGCGAGGCGGCGGAAACTCGGCCCAGGTCACAGCCCGCCCCCTGCGGGACCTGGTTGGCTAAACTGCCGTGATGACCGGCAGGTCCTGAAGCCAATGAGGCGGCGGATCTCTCCAAGTCCCTAAATCCACTGGGCCCTTTGCAGAAGCGACTTCCAGAAGCTTAAATGCCCTGGACCCGCCCGCCCGCCCGAAACCAGACCGCTGATGTCTCACCAGATGGCGACTTGGTATTTACTGAAGATCTTTGCACATGAATGGTCAGAAGTCTCGTAGCATCGCTGGAAGTCGGGTTATTACAGTAGCAGTAGTGGTGGTAGTGGTGGTGGTAGTGGTAGTAGTAGTACTAGTAGAAGTATTTGAGACAGAGTCTCACTCTTTCACCAGGCTGGGGTGCAGTGGCGCAATCTCGGTTTATTGCAACCTTCGCCTCCCAGGTTCAAGTGATTCTCCTGCCTCAGCCTCCCGAGTAACTGGAATCACAGGCGCTCACCACCACACCCGGCTCATGTTTTGTATTTAGTAGAGACAGGGTTTCACCATGTTGATCAGGCTGCTCTTGAACTCCTGACCTCAGGTGATTCACCTGCTTCAGCCTCCCAAAGTGCTGGGATTACAGGCATGAGCCACCATGCCCTGCAGGGTTATTATTAATAATCTCCCCCCTTTTTTTTTTTGAGACACAGTTTTGCTCGTTGCCCAGGCTGGAGTGCAATGGCCCGATCTCAGCTCACCACAACCACTGCCTCCCGGGTTCAAGCGATTCTCCTGCCTCAACCTCCCAAGTAGCTGGGATTACAGGCATGTGCCACCACACCTGGTTAATTTTTGTATTTTTAGTAAAGACGGGGTTTCTCCATGTTGGTCAGGCTGGCCTCGAACTCCTGACCTCAGGTGATCTGCCCGCCTCAGCCTCCCAAAGTGCTGGGATTACAGGCATGAGCCACCGAGCCCGGCCAATAATCCCATTTTATAGTAGAATAAACAGGTTCCTAGAAGCAACAAGGGAGGCTGGGGTTGCACAGTGATCCTGAAGAGGGTCCTGGCCCTGCTCACGCCTCATCACACAGGCAGCCTCTTGAGGGCCCCCACACCTCCCCTTCCTCCAAAAAGTTTTTGCCTGGGCTGCACTGCTAGACACTTTGGGCTCTGAGCCACATAGTTTGCTCACATGACCTTATTTTAAAATTTTTATAGTTTTTTTAAGAGACAGGATCTTGATATCGCCCAGGCTGGAGTGCAGTGCTGTGATCGTAGCTCCTTGCAGCCTCCAACTCCCAGGCTCAAGCAATCTTCCCACCTCAGGCTCCCAAGCAGCTGGGACCACAGGCCCACCCACCACATCCGCCTAGTTTTTACTTTTTGTAGAGATAGAGTCTTGCTATGTTGCCCAGGCTGGTCTCAAACTCCTGGGCTCATGCTATCCTCCCGCCTCAGCCTCCCAAAGTGCTCAGATTACAGGCGTGACACCCAGCCCTGACATGACCACATTTCATCCTTACAATGATCCCCTGGAGTAGGACCTCTTTACTGCCCCCACTGTACAACCGAGGAAACCCAGGCTCAGAGAGATAAAATACAGAGGTCTCACGGCTGGGTAGCAGTGACCTTGGCTCTTGAGCTGGGTAGATACCCTGAGTGCAGCTGAAGATTTGCCAGTCCATCCCGCCATGTGGGTGTCCCATGTCTGGGAGGTAAGAGCAGGCTCTATCCATTTTGACAGGAACAAACTGCCAAAGTGTTACCAGAAAGGGGTCCTGATCCAGACCCCAAGAGAGGGTTCTCCAATCTCACACTAGAAAGAATCCAGGGCGAGTTCATAGAGTATAGTGAAAGCAAATTTATTAAGAAACGAAAGGAATAAAAGAATGGCTACTCCATAGACAAGGCAGGGCTGCTGGTTGCCCATTTTTATGGTTATTTCTTGATGGGATATGCTAAACAAGGGGTGGATTATTCATGCCTCCCCTTTTTAGACCGTATAGGGTCTAGAGGGTAACGTCCTGATGTTGACGCAGCATTTGTTTTTTTGTTTGCTTCTTTGAGACGGACTCTCGCTCTCAAAGCCTGTTTGCCCAGGCTGGAGTGAAGTGGCACAATCTCAGCTCACTGCAACCTCCGCCTCCCAGGTTCAAGTGATCCTCCTGCCTCAGCCCCCCTAGTAGCTGGGATTACAGGCACTTGCCACCATGCCCAGCTAATTCTTGTATTTTTAGTAGAGACGGGGCTTCACCATGTTGGCCAGGCTGGTCTTGAACTCCTGACCTCAGGTGATCTGCCCGCCTTGGCCACCCAAAGTGCTAGGATTACAGGCATAAGCCACCGCGCCTGGCCAGCCATGGCATTTGTAAACTGTCATGGCGCTGGTGGGAGTGTAGCAATGAGGACGACCAGAGGTCACTCTTGTCGCCATCTTGGTATTGGTGGGTTTTGGCCGGCTTCTTTACTGCAACCTGTTTTATCAGCAAGGTCTTTATGACCCATTATCTTGTGCTGACCTCCTACCTCATCCTGTGACTTAGAATGCTTTAACCGTCTGGGAATGCAGCCCAGTAGGTTTCAACCTCATTTTACCCAGCTCCTATTCAAGGTGGAGTTGCCCAGGTTCAAACGCCTCTGACAGAAGCACCGGGCTGTTCCAAAGCACCTTCTGCTTCCCTACTTGTCCTCCTCCCACGACGGGGAGCTCACTACTTAC